TATATGCCCCTCCAAGCTTTCAAAGAAATTCTGACATGGATTAGGACCACTCAAGCCAATCAGCCCTCATTACTATAGCAAATGGTTTTGATTTGGGGGCAGTAAATCTGGACGGCATGGATCAGATGTTCATACCGGGAATGAAGTGATAACCTTGGGAGTGGTGTCAGGACTCAGGATCCTGAGACTCTGCCAGCGAAAGCTCCGGTGCTCACGAGCAGCTGCAGAATTCCCAGAAATCCCCCCATGTGGCAGAGAAGGGAATTCTCCAGGGTTTGTCAATCCGTGTATTTTAAATCTTGCGTTGATGTCTCTGTCTGGCGAGGAATCCAGAATGAGGCACAGTTCTGTGGGAGCGCTGAAATGAAAGCTGGCTAATTCCTAATGCCCGGCAACAGAGGAGTGCTGCTGCTTTCAGAGCACATCGTGCCTTTCGCATCCCAAAGACACATCCAAACCACACTTTCCCACGCAGAGCCTGTACCCAGGCAGCAGCATCCCGAGGAAGAACACCCTGCTCCTCTCACACCTGCACGGGGATTTCTCTACCAGCACCACAGCTCGCTCTTCTCTCTCCCTGATCTGGCTCAGCCTTGGTCTCTCTGGCCTTACTTCTCATCCCTGTGATGACTCAGAGCAGGATTAGATCAGCTGAGTCACGCTGAGGTAAAACTCACAGGGGCAGGAGGCCCCATGTATTTGGCTGGCTTCGTCTCTCTGCAATTCCACGTGCCTTTGACACTTGGCACACATGGAAACGTTCATATACAGCAAATCCCTAATGTTCCCTCTTATAAAATAACCATTTGGGAAGACAGCTTGTTTAAAGATAAGCATACATATACTGGATTGATAAATGCCTCTGAGCTCTGACTGGGCCTTCCTTATCCAAACTGTTCATCTACAAAGCAAATCAAGGAACCAAGGTGGAACAATAAATCTATTTCAATAACCAAATCAAAAACAAAACCTAGTCCTACCATGGAATTTCACTCTATCCAATGATTTATTTTTCTAATCTAAATATTTTCAATACATTTAATAATTAGAATAACCGTAAAAAAATTAATCTACTTTGAAATGAAACTGACAGTGAAAAGCCAAAACACTTGACTTTCAAAAAAAGACAGACTTTTTTCCTGCATTTCTTCCTGTCTCTGCAGATGAAGCTATTCACTACATGAAAACTAAATTCAGTAATATTTTTCTCCTTCTTTTTTTTAAAAATTTCACCAAAATACATTTGTCTTGTTCCAGCTGACATCCAAAGACATATAAATAGAACATGCTACATAAAATAAGTTAGTGAGGAGCAGATAGGTCTTCTAGTGTCAGCAGACTTAATTTTGTTGGTATTACCATGGGACATGACGTCATCTTGCCATCAGCATCCATTACTACTAAGGATACAGCTTTTACTGACAGCTCCTCTATATTAGGGGCAGGGGAACTTTCACAACTGTTCTGTCACCGACTACCTTTCAAACAGGCTCATGAGATAATTCAGGTTGGAAGAGCCCTCAGGAGTTCTCACAGTCCAGCCTCCTGCTCAAAGTGTAATGACAATCTCTAAGGTATTGCCCAGGCATTTAATTAACGCTCCTTCATTTACCCTACATATATTTAATTATTCATGAGCAGTGCTGAAGTTACATTCAGAAATAGCTGTGATCACTATGTGGTATTTATTAGCAAGAATTCTTTCTGAAAGGCTGTCACAGTGTTAGGGGGTCTCATAAGCTTCCTTGACAACAAAGGTTTTCAGCAAAAAAATCCAGTAACTTGTTGTTTCTCTTCACAAATTTCCAGCAGTCTTGTGGCTTTTTTTTTTTTTTTTGTCTTGTTTTGTTTTTCTTTTTTCTGTGCTGACACAAAATAGTTTGTCCTGCTCTGTTTTTATCTTTCCCGGGCTTTCCCCTTCTGCGTTGATATCTCTAGGCCACAGAACATGTCTTGTGTGGGTCTCTGCCCCAGCTCTGTCATAAAGACACCAAAAAACTGTATCTTGCCATGTACCAACCAGTCAGTTCAATAACCAGATCTTAACCAGTTAATGTTGGGAAGGGAGTAGCAGCCTGTGTGATCCATTGATGGGGGAAGCAACAGGCAAGGACTTCCCAGAAAAGCTTGAATAAGTGATTTGGGACCTTTAAATTCAAAGTGCATTATTAAAGCCCACTCCCTACCACTATGCAAAGTACACGGTAGGGTCAGTGACAGAAACCCCTTTTTCCACTGTCTCAACAGTTCTATGTTCCTAAAAATGCTGCTCAATCCTTTCCTTTTTGGGATCACCTGTTACAGTCTAGTCTACCATCATCACCAAATATGCAATGAACAGACCCTGAGATGACGGGGGACAGAACTTCTCAGATATTCTTTTCTAGATCAGCCAGCTGATTTTCCAAGTTAATTTAACTGTTCAGCCATTAATTACTGAAGAAGCAGTTGATTTTGATGGGACCAGACTGCAGAGCCTTCCGGCAACTCTGGTTAGCAGTTCAGTGCAACTGCTAAGGGGGCCACCTATATTGTAAACTACGGCAGGGGACAGCACTGGAATGGTGGAGGGGTTTTGATCAATAGAAGTATGATGAAGTAAAAAGATGAAGTAAGGGTGCTTTTCTTCATATTTAAAAATTACGAGCAACATAAACACAGAAATAAAGTTAGTTTACGTCCTTGCTCATGATAAAACCCCCAGCTGTCTAGATATCAATCAGTGGAGTAACTTCTTCTACAGTGTAACTCAGGATGGGTAAGGTTTCTGTTATAAATAACTACAGCAAAATGAAAAAAAAAGGCCAAGTTTTGATGATTTTAAACTGAGAATGAGGTTTAGATATGTGATGGCATTTTAACAAGTTACAGGCTTTTTTTCCTCCCCAACTCTTTGCATAAAATTTTTCTTTTAGAAATCAAATTAATTTGAAGACTACCATAAATGCAAACGTCTCCATAGATACAGACAGGCTTACAACAGGAAAGGAAAGAGCATGGAATGGAAAACAGGAGAATAAGTTCAGAAATTTCACATACCAGAGACAAGGCAATACCATCCAGTTGCCTGTGGTACTGAATTTCTTTCACAAATGTTCTGTTCAATCCTAGGATAGAGTTAACTTCAACTGTCTCAGTCCTCTCAGTTTCCGAGACCAGACGATAAAAATATAAGACAGCTTCTGAGAACAAATAAATTGCATTAAAAACTTGCAGCATCTCTGAGAGAAGAGGAACAAGGGTCATAGTTTAACAGAGTGCAGAGCAACATTAAGATCTCAAATATATCTGTAACACCATCCAAAGACAAAACAAGCTTCCCAATCCAATACTATTTAACAAGCCAATTTAATGTCTCATGCCACCTTGTTTTACGGTTGGATTCATGTGGTCTGCCACCTGCACTAGATTATTTCCATTGGGAAAAATGTTTTTAAAATAATAGGGATCATATATTTAGCCATCAAGGACAGAGAAAAACATCCTAGTCGATCATATTATCCCCCAGAGAGAATCCCTGAGCTAAACTTGCTTTTACTGTTATAGTGGGTCCTTTTACATCAGTGTGGAGTTGGAGAGAGTTAAAAAGAGGAACATTTTCCCTCTGGCATTGCTGATCTCCTGCAAAGGCACAAGTCCAAGTGACGTACACACACCAGCAGCAGCCACTTTCCAGTGCATCCATCGCTGAATGCAGGATCATCATCGTTCCCTGTACTGCAACTGCCCTTCCTTAGAAATGACGAGTAAGCAGGTCACTAAAATACCCTCTAATGTGGACTATCTAACTGGGAAATGGGCTTTGACCTGCTGTTTTCCGTTTCTAAATATTTTGGGATTTGGAAAGTTCAGCCTGAAGCACACACTCCTCTCAGGCAGATCAGCTGTCACTCATAATACAAATCAAAAGATGACAGATGGCAGAATCTGCCCAGAAGTTCAATTCCTGCTAGGGTCACTCTGTCCATAGTGACCATTTTTCCATACTAACCACATCACTTTTTCGGCTCACCTCACCATAAGCAATTTTTACACACGAAAGCATATACATAGATGTGTATAAAATATTCATCTACCAACTATAAAATTTCCCTGGCCTAAAGATTTTCTACTAACAGATTTGTTTATGTGCACTGTGCCTTCTGACATTATTACATTTCCCACTGCCACATGAAAACTCAAAAAAAAAAAAAAATCAGAGCATCCTCATATTCATCCTTGTGCTGCTTGTTTTTCTGTAGAGGAAGCTGTGAAGCCTGCATGTGGAAGAAGAGCTGGATGAATATTTTGAAACGTATTTGTGTTAATATACTGATTAATTTCTCATGCAATAGATTTCAGTTGTGCTCTTGTGCAGCCTTCATACACTTATATCATGCAAAACAAGCTGGTAGAAAAGTTCACTGGCAGGAATGCCTGTAGAAATAGTACATTTTACAAAAATATTTAATGTAAGCAAATTTTCTATATATAATCTATACATATAAGTGTGTAAATATATGTAGTTTTTTCCCACAAAAAATTGACTCCTCCAGCAAGAGAAACAGAAATGTGGCTGAATACATATCCAGTCAAATCAGCTCATGTTTAACTTGCAGTTGCAGAGACCAGCAATAACATGTTCACAACCAGACGAGGAATAATGAATTATTATTGAAGTGAATAAACAAATAATTGCTGAATTACTACTACAGGCTGCAGACATATTAACTTACAAGTTATTTTCAAGGTAAGGAAGCTGTCAAAAGAAATGGGTCACTGTATGAAATTCATCCAGCTCTGCCTTGAATACTAAATATCCAGCACCATGTGTGTAATTTTCTGGAGTCCAAAGAGCAAAATCTGGAGGGCCTAATTGTACTTCTCTACTTCTTCAGCAGCAGCTTGTCTGTGCAAAGCCCTGTCCATAGAGTGTTTTTTGTTTTCCTTCCATGGTATCTCAAGTGTGTCTCAGTATTCTCTTGACGGAAATTATATTGCAATTATTTCAATCCTTCCAGTTGACAACTGGCTTGATCTCGAACATATTCACCTCCATTGGCTCAGTAACGCTGGCCTTGTTATTGATCCTCTTCTTGGCAGTTGTGGTTTCAGTCATCGCTGCCAATAAACGGGCGACCCAAGGGACCTACAGCCCCAGCCGGCAGGAAAAGGAGGGATCCCGGGTGGAGATGTGGAACATGGTGCAGCCTCCACCAATGGAAAGACTGATTTAGAAGACAGCAAAAGTACTCCTCAATCCTGGAAGATGGCTGAAAGGGGACAGTGTACATATGTTAGATACATTAATTTTCATTCAGATATCAGGAATGCTCATTATAAATATTGCAATGACTTTGGGCTTTCACTGTTTGCCTTTCGAGTTCAATAACACGAAAATTCTTTTAGCATTTAAGAGAACCAATGACATTTATCATTGCTTTGGACCAACCTGCCCAAGGACAATTTTTATTTGCACTAGAAACTCCAGCCTTGATAATCAGCAGTAGGCATTACAGAGAGTAATGGCTCCTGGGATACACGTAAGTGCCTGTCTTGGGCACAGCACATATAACAGTTCCTCATTCGTGCTCTCCTCTGACTGCCCAGGAATCACCGCTGCAGAAGATGATGCAGACAAATCAACCAAGCCTGTACAATAAAGACATTGTAATTCTGCTATCAAAGGGTTTAGTACTAGAGCCGTGCCTCAGCATACCTACTTCCATCTGTTAATCAGGGATTAAAAAGGAAGCTGTGCGAAAACTCTCCAAAATAAAAGCTTCAAATCAAATTGTTTTTCTTTCCTCCAGTTCTTTCACTTTATCTGCCATTCCTCCACCTTGTACCAAAACGAAGGTGAAATGAGTTTTTGTTTCCACAAAAGCCTGTATTTCTGTGAGTATAGATGACTCTATCCTAAAATATCCAGTGGGCACAACCCAACCTCTTAGGAGACACGGAATCTAAACATCCTAAACAAATTGTGTGCATCCACACTACCGCCTTTTTCCCATTACATTATTACCTGCTGGTCCCTTTTTGAAAATTATTGCTTCTCACACTGCAAACATGCATTGGTTGCCAAAAAGCATGCTTAGAAACATCTCCCAGAGCTCACAGAAAATAGCAGGAAAGAGACAGAAGTGGCCTACAGGTAAAACACTGGCTTGAAAATAATTACAGCAAAGCTGGTGCTTCTCCTGACACTCAGACTTCTCATATGATCATGGGAAAATAAATTTTTATGTCTCAATTTTCCTCTTTTAAAAGAGATAATCCCATTTAACTACCTCATAAACCTCAGCAGCACAAGGGTTGCTTTGTCGAAAAAGAAACAAATGCATAAAAGATAATGGAGAAGCCTGTAAGGTTGTAATGGGATAGACATTTACATAGATGTAATATAAATTACACTGAAAAATAATGGAATGAAATGGACATTTGATGCAAAGGAATCTTGTAATGAAAACAACATCTGAAAATGTAGGTTAATGGTTGGACTCAATGGTCTTAGAAGTGTTTTCCAGCCCTAACAATTGTACCAAATGTATGTGCCAAAAACACACCCAAGTTAAAGGGGTTTTGGGAATGTTGAGGGAAATTTTAGCCATAACTCAAGCAGGTTATTTTCAGATGGAGGCAAGAAATTAATGTACAAACATTGTTCCCACACAAACTTAACCCACAATAAAGAGGCGACAGAGCGAAAAGTCCATGACAGCATTTCCTTCTTCCTGCACTGAAGCTCACATGTTCCTGCAGTTGTGAAACATCCCAGACAGATAGATCAAGCCCCAGGTGATTATTACAGGAGTTGCATAATAGAGTATGCACATTCAATATCCAAGAATTTAACTCATCTTTTTAATTAATGATCAATTCATAATTCATTTTGAATGAGCCCCTTAAGGGATTACTGAAGATCAATGCCACTCACATTTATTTTTGTATAAGATGAATAGCAGTAACTATGATAGTAAGCACATTCAGGATTTTTTGCAGTCCTCACCAATATCTTTCAAAACAAGGGCCTACAGAAAACATGAGTAGATGGCTGGATTCACGCCAAGTTTAGAAGCACAGAATGTAGTCAGAGCAAAAATGCACAACAGATTTTATTCTAGCCCAATTTACAGCTTTACTACTGAAGCTTATTATATTAAATGCAATTGCTGTACAGCTGCAGTCTAAATTCAGAGAGTTCAAATGACAACTAAGGAAAGAATGGAAAAATAAGTTACTAAAATTATGACAAGAGAGAGCAAAAAATCAGGATAGATCTTTTCAAAACATATCTTCATGCAGTAGGTTTTAATTGAAACTTTTGATTTAACCCAGCTTTTGCCCTATGAGACACTGCTGAGGCATAATAAAGAATAACATGAAGTTAATTAGGTGTGATTATTTCTAGAAAGATACATAAACACTGGGGAAGAAAAAAGAAATTAACTCAAAGAGTGTACAGTTTGAGGCAGAAAATACCAACTAAAAGGGACAGAAAAGAACAGTGTGTGAGGACGAGAGACCACAAGAGAACCGAGAGCGATTACTGTGGACTCCTAAACACACGGCACAAAAAAGCTGCAAGAGACCCAAAGGCAAGGCCAACTCTGCCTAAAAAGTGGCCAAGTGGGCAGAGGCACAGGATGCTGTAGTAACATGAGGGCAAGCAGTGTGTGAGTGGAGAGGAGATGCAAGGCTGCAGGCTGGGCAGTGCTCGGGGACAGCAAGCTCTGAACACCAGGGCAAATGTGCAACTAAGGTACAAGTAGCAGAAGTAGCATTGAACTGATATAGTGGATACAGTGAAGACGCTTCCGCACACCTGATTTACCTTCTTTGTATTTTGATCAATAAGTTCAAAGGAGAAATAGAATTGATAGAGATCTCAGGGTGAGATCAGGCAGAGATGAAGAAAGAAAAACAGAAATTAGGTAATATCAGAAATAGCAGTAAAATGGTTATAATAAAGATCTGACTTTGAAGTTTGCCCTTCTTTGAACTAGATCACATCAGCAGGTCCCTTCCAGGCTAAATTATTATGTGATTCAAAGAAAAAGGACAAAAGAGAGAAAGCAGGTAGAGATGGAGGCAGTCTGAATGGAGAACTAACTTGAAGGAAAGTGTCACTGTTCCCAGAGAAACACAGAGCAAGAAAAAGGGAGTGGATGGAGAGTAAATCTGCTCTTCTCAGTGGTTTGACTTTCTGGGTGAAGTTACGGAGACAGTAGAAAAACAATCTGTACAGAGGCAGTAAAATATTCCAGAAAGTGTTGCCACAGAGAGAATCTATAGGGCTGAGCAAGATACCCAGGAGCGTGTGCAGAGTAAGGAAAAGGCAGACAAGATGAAAGCCTGAAGACTTTTTATACAGACCAAAGAGAGTTCTGGAGGAATATGATCCTAGAGAATTAAAAAGACACCCATAAAAGCATAACAAAGGGAAAGAAATCTCACAGTGAAATACAAGTGTGGTTTGTAGAAGGTAAGTCAAGGAGACAGAAGGCAGGGGGAAAACCTTTAAACTAAGATTAGAGTAAGTTGTGATTGCTGTCAGTCTCGGCAGAGAGGAAGCGATAAAAATAAGAGTGGTGGAAATTCACAGAAAAATGAGAGAAGAAAAGGAAATGAGAGTGAATGGCACTTGAGGGAGGTGGAGGCAAAAGCTGGATTGCAGCAAAGGTGAAGCTGGACTTTCAACAGCAATGAGACCGATAGGGAAGGGAGGGAGGATGATGGTGAGTTAGGAATGAGAATTGCCTACTGAAGCAGATCTGTGTAAGATAACTTAAAGCGAGCATGTTTTACTTCAAATAGGGATTAAAATGTGAAATATTCAAAACTCTATTTATGATCTTATACGAAACAAACAGGAAAAGGCCCAGAAGGCAACAAATGTCAGTTCCAAATACACTTTCTGAAAAGCTGAATTAATGAAGCAACATCCAAAGGCAGCAGGGAGGTAGATGCTGCAGCTGGAAATGCTCAATGGCAGCCTGGAGAAGCACAAAAGTCCCAAAGCTGTTGCCACATGAACATGCTACAGCGACCATGAAATGCGCTGTTAGGAAGACTGACCCTTCCAGGCTACATTTCAGCCAGGGAACAACAGTTAAAACAGGTGAGAACACATTACAGAGAATGTCTTATACCATCTTTGATGAAATTTAACCCACAGATTAAGACCAATATAGTAGATGTCAAACTATTTTCTGCTTCTCAGCCCAGGAGTATAATGAAATGTGTATAAAAGCACAGACATTCAGGGAGGACCAATAACATCTAGGAGTTGTGGAGAGCATTTGTGCTGCTATAAGGAAAAAAATACTGAAATTGGCTTCTGGTTCCCCAAAAAGCACTGCTAATCTCCAATAATGTAGAGATATCTCTATATAAAATATTGAAAAGAGTTCAAAATTTCATTTGTTTAATCTATTTGACTCAAAAGCTTCAAGGAAAACAAATTATTCATGATCACTTGCAACTTATCCCTTAAAGAAAAAAATGCTCAATATACTCCCAAACTTTACACATTTAAACTTTCTCTTCATGTCTAATAGCCTCACAAAAAAAGACAGGGTGCTATGTTAGAGCACACAATCTGCTCTGCACCAAACCCCTCAAGATACTCAGAAGCAGGGGAAGGATGAAACTTTCCTGCCTTTCATGGTCTATTCTCTTTTCCCTTGGAAAAAGGTGACATCCAGCCTGTGAAACAGCGAGCATTACCTTGCATTATGTGCCTTCACCATTTTATGTAAAGTTCACTGTTCCTTCTCTATATATACATAGTATTTTTATAGTTTAGATGCTGTATTCATATTACTATTTTGCTGTGTACAGGATCAAAATGACCAACGAATAAAGATTATATCGAGCCACATGCAGCCTGTATTTTTTTTTGCCTTATGGTATTATTTCATCATGCAATTACAAAGGAAATTATCCCCAGGCCAGAAGAATATTTAGAGTTTAAAAAGTCAAATTTGCATTTGGAATCAAGTGATCAAGAAACATTTCCCATGTTTGGAAATGAGATGAACATGCTTTGTGCTGTGGTTGAGGCTGCCAGCCTCAGCACTACAACATGCACCATCCTCTGTCCACATCCACACTGACCAACTACCAAGGTGGCACAAATCAACAGAGCTTCATGGAACTAATTTATACAAGCTGAGAAGCAGATGCTCTGTTTTTGAAATTACTGTTGTCTTTCCAACACTGTGGACAAGTGCAGGCAGAAAAACAGCAGAGCAGAAACAATTTTCTCCACTTAATATGTCCCATTTTTACGAGAGATTTTCTGCTCACTTCAAAAGTCTCTTTGTTACTTTTCAATAAAGATCAACAACCTCAGACACCACAAGTTCTACTGCCCCAAAGGCATCGGGCAGTTGTCACTGGAAGGGTCCCCTCAGACCAGTTCAGTTATCCCGGTGCTTACAGTTGCATTGCAAGCTCTTCTGCAGCCTGGCTGCATGACCACTGCCCAGGACACTTCCAGGTAAGACACTCCCTTTCCCAGGCCTCCAAAACTCACACCTCCTGGCCCTGGAGGAAGTGAGAAAGCATCTGGCCCATCCAGCTTTCAGCTCAATGAGAAGCTAAGCCACAGTTTACTGCTGTTGTCTACATCTGTAAGTCTGGCTAGTGACTATTGTTCAAACAGGTGCTAATTAATAATAAACATCATCTAAATTATAGTATTAAATAAAGAACACAGTAAATACAAATTTTTCAAATGGTCATAATTACATGCAGTCCTGCAGCAGAAAGCTTGTGTCCAGATAAGAGACAGAAAAGTCTTTTTCCCAGGCCAAAATTTCTCTGCTATGTTTTATTTAACATAAGCCCCAAGTCTCACTGAAGGAAAAACCTTACATGTGTAATGTCACATAACATCAGGGATCACGGATCAGAGGACTTTGGCCAAGTTCCTTTTCCTATGCTGTTCAATCATCTCTCAGCTAAAGAAAACTGACACCTCTGAAAATAATTCAAAAAAAAGAGCATCAGATTAGGCATTGTAACTCAATAAAGTTGAACAGCGAATAGCTGACAACACCAGAATTTTGCCTATTGCAAAACGTCACAGTTGAATGAATGGATGGGGTTTTCATGCCCCACTGAAGCATGCACAGGTTTCAAACTACTGGCATGTGTCAAGATGCAGCAAAACCTAACATTTGGAAAAGATACATCTGGTGTGCATTTATTGGGAGCAGAGTGAGGTCTTGTTTAAATTGCACATGTGAATTTGTTGTGGAGAGCGGGTGATACCCCATGCCTCACAGTAAAAGCATGTTTTAACCTAAACTCCTCCATCTATAATGCATGTCATGAGGTGTGAAGACCTCTTGCGCAGTGAAAAGCCACAGCATAAATTATGAATCAAGGCACAGGTGGAGTCCTGAAGGCCAGGCAGAGTTCTCAGTTCAGTGGTGATTTTTTCTGGGTTTACGTTCTTTCAAATGATACTTATTAGACAAAGATGTATTGGAGATTTTATACTGCAGCCGATTAGAGCAACTTTATTGTATTCTGACTTTATTTCACAGAAGTTGCTTTTAATTGCTGTTTTTATCAGGTCATTATTTTTCTTTCCTCAAAATCATTTGACAAAGCAATTACATTCACCAGCAATTCACCTAACATTGCCAAACACCAGCAAGGCAGACGTGTCCAAACCATGGCCTTAAACCATCTTTTTTGATCAGAGCAGAACTACACTGGCCTTCATCTGGCTCCATGCTCTTCATGGCACCGTTTGAAGCACGCCATTTTCCTCAGCTCAATATTGTGTGTGACCTTTCAGATTTCACCTGTAGTTCCAGCAAAAGTGCAATTTCCACCGGCACGTCTTGTAATAACCAGCGCTGACAAAAATGTGTGTTTCCAATTTAAACCCACTTAGTTTCACTTGGCACCTGCGCTAAGCCTCCCCTGGCAGCAGAAATCCAGGAGGAGTAACAGCAGCAGAGCAGGGTCTGCCTGGCAGCCCTGACTTGATGTGACCGCCTGGGCCGCCAGGCCTTGTCACCTGCACGAGCAGCCCCTGGCACCGCAGCACGTTGGCACTGCCCGAGCAGTCACAGCGTGGGTGCAGCCCCGGGTTACGTGGCTGCTTTCTGTCCCTCAAAATAAACAACTAAACTGTCTTCCAGGCAGCTAGCACGAGGCTCACAGAATTTCAAGTGTTGCTGCCCTTAAGTAGTTTCACAATCCTTAAGTGGACTAGAAAAGCGCAAGTCCGAAGGGAAGATGAGCGGAATGTTTCCGCATGTTTTTCCTACAAGGGCAAAACAGTTTAAAGAAGTAAACGCAGTTTGAGCTGCTTCTAGTTGCCTCCTCAGTCTCCTCCAGCAGGGAGACGATACTCACATAAAAAGCTGTGGGCATCCAGAGTGATGGGGCAGCCAGAAGCCCAGGCGTTATTTCAGAGGCAAAAGCACAAGGCTCTCCTCTCCGGCTGCCTGTAGCACCACTGTGGGAACACTCCTTCATGCTTTGGCTGCAATGACCAAGAAACATCCGCAAAAAGGAGAAACCTCGACCCCAGTGACAAATCAGGAAAAAAAGCAAACCAGAATACCATGCAGGTGCACTGCTCTTCTCTCTCCGTCTCTGGCAATGCCTCCTCATGTGTCAGTGGTTGCAGCTCTTCCAGAGATTTAAATATTCCCTCGGG